TGATATGAGGCTAATAAAATTAGGAACTTATTTAAGCATTCATATTTTCATACTTTAATGCATTTCTGTATTTAGTTCCTGAAATTTTTCAACATCAAAATAACAAAACTGTGGTAATACTGTATGATGAACTGTAAAGTTTTCATGCACTCCATATGGTGTTAGGATGGGTGATTTTGGGTCTTGGGCCCAAGCAACTGTCTTTTTTTCTTCTCTCTGCTTTCTTGCTGGCTGGCTTCCAGGGGAGTGGGTTAGGATGGGAATCCCAGTTTGAGGGGATTGATCCACTTTTCCTATTAGAATTTGAGAATCAGTAACAAACCTTTTTTTTAAAGAATCATTTTTTGATTTTTAGAGAGAGAGAAGGGGAGAAAAACATCGATGTAAGAGTATAACATTAATTGGCTGCCTCCTGCATGCCACGTGGCCCCATCAGGGATTGAGCCTACAACCCAGGCATGTGCCCAGACCGGAATCAAACTGGCCACCCTCTAGCGTATGAATGATGTCCAGCCAACTGAATCACACCAGCCAGGGCAACAATCTTTTCTTTTTTTTTAAATTTTTTTATTAGTATTTCTTTTCGGTAATAAATTGTACTCAGAACAATAGTTTAAAAGGTGACAGAAGGAAAACATTGCCTCTAGTAAATGAAGTTTCTGATAAGTGGCAGCAGCAGCCACCTGGAAAACTCTGGACCAGAAATGTAGCCAGCCTGAGATTACCTCCTCCTTCTATCCCCCACCCCACCCCCACCCCATTGTACACTTTGGAGTGACCACATTGTAGTTGCCTGGCACTGTACCATATTCAGGAACATAAATAATTCTGTTTTGAAATTATGGCAGGAGGAAATTTGATACTGGGAAAAGACTGCTTTTAAGGAAGGCACAATGAAGTTGAGCATTTTATCTTGAAACATAAAATTAGATTCTGAAAGCAAGCTTAAGTTGTAATTAAAAAATATGCACTGAGTTTTAGAATGAACAAAGAATGTTATGTTGATTGTTTTTGGCCTACATTTTTTATACTAACTTTTCTATAATATGATTGGGTAACTTGTAAGTAATAATGCAATTGTAAAGAAGGACATTTTTGCAGACTATTTAAGAGTGCCATTCTTCCCCCTACTCGTTAGTCTTTGATAATCAAATAATTATTTTTGAGACACTTAGCATATTATTGTTCTCACTGATTTTTCATCAGTTACTAACTTCCCTAATTCCTTCTGTATCCTCATTTGTCAGTGGGTTTACTTGAGATTCTAACTATTTAGTGTCTTCCGTCAGCTTTGCCAAATGTTGTATCTTTTTTTAATCCTCACCCGAGGATATGCTTATTGATTAGAGAGTGAGAGAGAGAAATATTCATCCGTTGCCTCCTGTCCTTCCTCTCTCTTTCTCTCAAATCAGTAAAACATATCCTTGGATGAGAATTAAAATAAAGTGAGTATAATGAGAATAAAAAGGTGGTATGAAGGTAGATTGGATAGAAGAGAATTACTAGGGAAATCCCAGTGAATTGATTTTTCTTTCTTGGTGTATAAGGTGATGAGTATGATGTTTCATACCAACCAGTTATTTTAATTAAGAAAGCTAACTAATAGGATGATTTAAATTGGTTGGAGATACGAGAAAATAGCATTTAAGAAACTGATTTAAAAGAAGACTGAAATGTTCTGCTTGGGTTTGCTAGGTCCTTGGAAGTTTAGCTATAGGTCTCAGAGACAGTAATCTTCTGGAGAAGGTAATGTTATTGCTACCAATTTATTTATTTTTTCCTTTAAATGTCTTCTTTATAAATTCATGTGGTTCATCTAGGTCAGGGATGGGGAACATGTGGCCTGTGGGCCGTATCATTTGGTCTGGCCCTGCCAAGGCAACTGCAGGCGGGCTTAGAAATTCAATAAATCTAGGAGCTTTTTTCATAGCTAATTTTTAAGCTGATAACTTTTTATGGCCCTTGAATAATGTTATAAATATGCAAATGGCCCTTAGCAGAAAAAAGGTTCCCTACACTTGATGTAGGTGATTTCATGAGTATCCTTTTAGCTCTTCAGTTGTTCGAATATCTGATTAACTGTATCTGGAAATGTATATTTAAGGACACTGACTTAGCTAGGTTGTAACTTCAACACCGGCTAGACTAGAATAGGCCAACATGACCATGAAAGTATCAACAAATAAGTGTGAATTGAAGTGAAAATTCAGGAAGCTATGGTCTCAGTGGGGAGTCAAACAAGTAACATGTATTTTAGTAGTTCTGTAGTGCAAGTGCATGGTCCATAGAGGGGCAGAGGAGGAGGACTGTTTTCTGTCTGGGAAGATATCAGGGAGGAGGTAACAATTGGGGTGAGATTAGAAAAACTGAGTTGGGTGTGCAAGGGAAACAAACTGGACGTGACATTCTAGGGAGAGGAAACTGAATAAGAAAAGACTTGGTAGTGTGAGCAAACATGGTGTGTTTTGGGGAATCACACAGTAGATCTCAGCATTTCCAGAGTATAAAATATAATAAAAAGGAGAATGGCGGTAATGATATCCCAAAAGAGACAGGGGTATTAGTCTAGGATCCTTCAAAAATTTCTGGCTTAGAGGGGCAGTGATGCTGTTCACTGGATAAAGACTAGAAGGAGACATTAGATTGAGAAATTGATGAAGTTAGTTTTAGACATTGCATTTGAGGCATATAGGAACCATCTAGGTGAAAATGTCTAGTGGGGTCAAAGGATATATAGTTCTGGGGTGCAGGGAGAGTATTGGGCTAGAAATTCAGATTTGTCATCAGTGCCCTTATGGTTGTGAATGTCAAGGGACTAGATAGAAGAGTCAGTGAGTCAAAAGAGGGTCATGCAAGAATCACCAATATTTTAAGGAGTGGGTGAGGAGGTCATCCAGCAGAGGACCCAGAGTTAGGAGGAGAATCATAAAAACATAAAAACATTAAAAAACACACAACACCTTATGTTGTTTTGTAATGTTATTTAGAAATTAAAATAAAATTATGACTAAAAAAGTCAAGTTAACCATAATTTAAATATGCTCACTCAAGTTACCACTTGCTTATTTTCTTTGTAAAATAAGGAAGTGTGGCCGTTTTTGGTACTCATTGGTCTGAATATATAAATGGAGACAGTGGATGTTTGAATAAGTATGTATTTACAAGGTTTAAATACTGCTGCTTTGTAAGAACTGAGGAGTGGTGGTGACGAGTAATTGAGAATTGTGGGGGTAAGGTGGGGTATTAGGTTTTAAAATGTGACCTTGAAAAGCATACTGGAAGTCTTCATCAATTTATAGACCAAAATAAATTCTGGAAGGGTCCAAGATTTACATATAAAATAAAACTATGAAGCATATTAGAGGACAATAGGATGACAATTCTAAAAATTTTGGTGTGGGGAAAGTCTAACAGGAAGACATAATTCATAAAGGAAAAGATTAGTGGACTTAATTGCAGAAAAATAAAGTATTGGGTCCTGGATACTGTGAATAAAATAGAAAAACAACCAGCTAATTTTGGGGAAATATTAGCGGTGAGTGTAAGAGAACTTACTAAGTGTGGTCATGGGAGTAGATGACTCAAGTGATCAGAGGTTCAGGAGACTTCAAGGAGACTACTGAGGAGGCCACTGTCCTTAGCCAAGGGTTTTTGGAAGTCATACCAACATGAACATCAAAGCCCCAAAGATTATGGGAGGTATTGTGCTGGAGTGAAACTTAGTGACATAGCTTTTGGAGTTCTGAAAGACTGTGGGGAGTAATCAGACCCATGGATGGTACTGCGAAGGTGCTGAGTAGATAGCAACAGATGAAATACATGGGCCTCAAAGGATATGATATTAACGTAGTATTGGTGAACATTCTTGAACCTTTCTGTCATTCTGGAGCTATAAACAAATCTGAAGGTTTGATGAAAATGTGAAAATGATGTTGGAAGCCTTTTCATGTATTATTTGAAACCATTTGGTTTGGAGATCCCAAAGCCACCAGCCAGAAAGTGGTTTAGAGCTTTAACTTTTCTTTCTAATGTTATAAGATGGATATAAACTTCATTAGAATTGTGTAGTTTAATCTTGGGGTTTTTCAGTTTCACTGCACAGCTTTTATATAGATACACTGAAGTGTGAACTTTCGTCTTTTCGGAATGAAAAACTGCCACCATGAAGACATTCAAGTGTAACCTCATTTCTGAAGTGGCTAGTTGATTAACTGGGACTAATTCTCTAGGTAGGGAGACTGAGATACAGGTTAAAGTTAAATTCCCACATATAATAACACTCTGGTGATAAAAAGGTAGATGTTGAGGCTTAGTAGTAAGAGAGAGAGGGAAGATTAAAAATATGGAAAGCTATTTAAAATGGGACAGACCTAGTTTACCTCATGAACTCATCCAACAAATATTTATTTAGGATGACAGTCCTTTGCTAGGCACTACCTATCTAGCAATAAGCAGAGAGGGCTTATGTGCCAAGTATGACACTACAGGACTTTATGGATTTTTTCATTAAATCCTCACAACAGCCCCTCACATAGGAATTATTACCCCCATTTTGTAGGAGAGGAGAGGCTTAGAGAGTTTAAGTAATTTTCCCAAGGTCATGTGGCAACTGAAAATTATGGAGGTGCCTGCTTTTGAATCCCAGGTTACTTGGTGGCAGAGCCTGAGTGAACACTTAAACAGTGGGCTTTTTTTAAACTGGCAGGAGGGTCATTACTGAGCATTCACTATGGTATTAGGTGCCAGGCTTTGTAATACACGTAAGAATCCTCAAGGTAAGTTTCATTATCATCATCTCAGTTTACCACAGTGCTGTGTGTTCTCCCCAGTGGTCAGCTGGTTTGGCTACAGCCTGTGGTAGATTCTATTCTCTCATTAGATATTCATGCCAGTTTTATAGTGCCCATTGGATGAAGTTGTAAGCTTAAGCAATTTGAAAAAACCCTTATTTGTAACAACATGAAGAGGATATTCCTGTACAGGTCCATTGCATTTATGCAACTAATTTTTATTCCCTTTGCCATCACATTTTTTCATATTCCTTTTGTTTCCATAGTCAAGATTTAAAAATTAAAATTTGTTTTACGCTTAAGAAACAACCCCAAACTATTGAAATATATTTTGAAATCCTTAGGCAGCCTCTAGCATTTCAGTGGCACTGTGTTTTAATTTTGGTATGTAACTTTTAATTAGTAATAAGAAAACTCATTTACAAAAAGGAAAACAGATTTACATGTGAAGTAGTCTGGATAATAAGACCATGTCAGTTTTATTCACGTAAAATTATGTCCTTTAGGTTAATCATTAGTATTTTAGAGGAAATGCGTTAGTTGTTTTCCTCCTCTTTTCCCCTCCCTCTTATTTTTACCTCTTCTTCCCTTTTGTCTATTATCTTTTTTTCCAAATCAGTATCAGGTAGTTATCATTTAATTAAATTGTATTGGCATGTACGTTTCTGTTTCAATGGCATTGTCAGGCCTTTCCTAAAAGGAGAAGTCGATTATGTGCTAGGTAACTGGGTGTTGCTGCTCACTTGTGCTGTACTGCGAAGGAGGAGGGGAAAATTAAGGTGTAAAATACAGTCTTTCACTAAAGGAGTAGGGAGTAGATACTAAATACATCTTTAATTAAAGGCAATCAGGAAATTATAACAGGTGAAAAATTTTTAATCTATAAATTGGGGTTCTGGTTTACTATTTCATTCTTAAGTGACAAAAATGATTCACTGAGCCATATTTTTCAGGGCTGGTGAAATAGAAGTAGCCAAGGGTTTTATATCTGTTCATTACAGCCTGTAACTTTATTACCGAGGCGTCTCAAATGATCTAGTATGTGGTATCTAGTTGTTAGCATTTCTTGTTTGTATTTTAATTTGTTGCCTTTAAAATCTTCTTGTAGAGACAGGCTAGTTCTACCTTAAAAAAACCCACACACCCCTCTACTTAAAAGAAATGGTACTTCCTGCTTTCATAAACAGTCATGTGCATAGTTTAGCAAGGCCTGATGCCTCTGGAGCGTTTTCCCTTTATAGCACCATTGAATCCCAGTCCTAACAGAAGTACTGCGAATCTTGTGGCCTCATTTTGAACAAAAGGGATTAGAGAAGAAAAATCTCTTGATATAAGGCTTGAAAGCAAGGACAGGCAATCTTGGTTGTGAATATTTTCTGATTTTTCCAGAAATCAAGCAGAAGATTGAGCTGCTGATGTCAGTTAACTCTGAGAAGTCGTCCTCTTCAGAAAGGTACAGCTACATCTCTTGCATGAACAATTAATGGTGTAGCATTGCTAAGAAACAAACCAGGACATTTTTTTTCTTGTCAAGTTTGCTATATAACGTATTGTACTGCATGCTGGTCGTTGTGCTGTATTGAAGATGTGTTTTGGGCAGGCTGTTCTGCTTTTACAAAGGGTAATTGATTTTTTTAAAAAATAGTGAAGCCTAATCAGCTGCAGCATGCACACCATAACACAGCAGACCGCGGGTTCCTGTGTGACAGCTGTTTAAGGCTTTAAAAATAATTTACTTAGCTAAAAAACAAACAAATCTTGCTTGCTTTAAGGAAATGCTAGTATTAGATTTTCTTCCTATATTTTGATGTTGTTGCTACACAAAATTACCAACACTATATGTAAGATTTAGGTTAAAAATACTTGACGTTGGTTGTAATAAATATTTTCTTATGTGAAAAGGGAGTGCCATTTGTAAATAGCTTAGGAATTGCAAACCCACAGATTAGTCACATTCTGAAAGAGAGATATGATGCTTCTTCAAGTCTGTGCTAGGAAATGGAACAGTCACTGCATGCAGTAATGGTTCATGCCTGCAGGTAAGGACAAAATGACTCAAGTATTTTTAAAGCAATTATTTTATCTGTCAATCAAATGATTATACTTGTAAGGCAGTATTTCCTTAAAATGGTTATTTACTTAATAAATAGAAGTAAAGATACTTTTATCTCAAGTCAGAAATGAGGCTGTAGTTGCCTATTTTGCTATGTAAATAATGTGTTCACTTCTGTTTGCCAAAATTTTGTATACTATATAGTGTTTTAAATTGGGGTTCTTGGGTGTATAGTTGATGCTTACCTTTCTCTTGATAACCTAATAGTTTATACCTAATGTTGATATTTTGTATTTTAGGTGTGTTGATAGATCTTTTTCATGGTTAGTTTTCAGGGTTATCTTTTTTGTTCATAGATTTAATATTTAGGAAAACATGATGGGGAAATAATTTGGTAGTAAGGAGTGATATAGGAAAAACACTGGAAAAAAATATGTGAAGAGCTTAACATGGTAAAAGGGATTTAATTAAAGTACACTAGTGTATGGTGGACATGATCTGATGACAAAATGATGACATTAAATCGATTTATTAGTATAACTAGGTGAAAGGCTCCTGGCTATAATTCAGGGCATTACAAATGTGGAAGATGTTACTGCTTTCTTTAGAGATTGAAAATAGAAAAATTTAGGCACATTTGTGTTTATTTTTATGTAGTGTCTAACTTCTGGTTTGTGGCTAGCCATCCGTTTTTAAGCATTCTGTTTGCTGAGATGAAAATAATCGTCAGCCTTGTGAATGTTCTGCCTGTAAAATGGTGGTGATGGGAAGGGGAGAAGGTGGTGGTGTAAATAGTGAATGGTCTGGGTGCCAACTGTAATGTTAGAGTTTTGTTACTAGGAAGAGCAGTTTTAATGGGATGACGGCAATAATTGTTGGCTTTTTGAGTAGCATGACTTTTCTGTTGATAAATTGAGGGTTGAAGAGAATGGACACAGATTATTGAGAAATTTATTGTTAAAATACATTCTTATAAGGAAAGATTCTAAAGTATTTTGGTGATTACATTTATTTATTTATTTTATTTTATTTTATTTTATTATTAATTTTTACCTAAGCTCCTGTGATTAAATTTGATGAAAAGGGAGTATGTATGTGGCCATGATTTTAAAGTTTAGAAATCAACTGCTATGCTTATAACAACTTTATGCACACTTTTACCAGAGCTTGCTTGTTTTGTTTGATATTCCAAATATCTTTACACATACATTTGTAAGTTAAGATACGCTGACTTAATGGGTGATAAATGTGGTTTATGGGGCAGCTAACACCTTGCAAACACAGAAATTGTTTTACTAATGTAAATATATTAAAAATATAAGTCACTCCCCCTCCTTTTTTTTTAACATATGATGATGAATAGTCAAATCATTTATCTTTTTAATTTGTTTGGAAGAACTTGAAAAACAAGAATCCCATGTTAAAAAGAAAATTATGGCCTAGTAACACCATATCCTGCCCAGGAGTTTTAATAGCTTTCAGTGCCATGTAGCGGTACCATCACATTCTTTAATTCCTTGTTCACCAGTTACCTAAATTTGACTAGTTTTTAAAAAAAAGTTAGTTGCTTGAGGCATGACCTCAGTCTTAAAGATATTTGGAATTTACAGATGGTCAGCATTTCCATGTATTTATTGGTGTAGGAAGGATGAAGAAATGCAGTCTTTCTTTAAAGAGGGGAAAGCTACTTTTTGTAAGAAACCAAGTTAACATTTGCCACAATTGATTTTGTTCACTGTCTGCAATATAGAGTGATCTTTGGATATTTCAGTGAACCAAGTAAAGAAACAACACTTCTAAGAACAGTGATGTGATGTTCCTAATAATTTTTCTATGTCATATATGTAACCCACTTAATGGGAATTTCTAGCCTTGTGACAGAGTATTTGTTGAATTATTTTTTTTCCCAGACAATTTTGTGCAATGGAGAAAGGAAAGGAACATCTGTAATACTTTCAACAATAAAGATAAATAAAAAAGAAAAAAAAGAAAAGCAAAACAACAAAAAAACCAGCTTATTTTTGTAGACAAGGAGCTTTCATTGAAAAATACAAGTATGAGTCAAAGTAATGTGATAACGGAGTTTTGAAGATTTTTTTTTTTTTTTTTATTTATCTTTATTGTTGAAAGTATTACAGATGTTCCTTTCCTTTCTCCATTGCACAAAATTGTCTGGGAAAAAAAATAATTCAACAAATACTCTGTCACAANTAACAGATCTCAATACCACCATGAAATTTAAAATTATATCTTTACCTTTAACAGAATAGTGGAGGTCCTAACAAATGCCATTTTGTGGGGGAGGCATGGAATACTACTCTTTTGTTTAGAATGGCTGACTCATAGGACAAAAACCAATGGAGTAACGAAAATTTACTTTTTCATGGTCTTATATTCTAGAGAGAGATAAAAATGTCAACCTACATTTTAAAAATTAGGGACAGAGAATATTATTGAATGAATTTAAAAAACTATTATGTCTGACTTGCATGTTATTCCCAGGCAAGAGGAAGACGTATCTGTTTCAAGTGCATACCCTTCCAAGGTTTTGCTTCTTGCTTTTTAAAATCTAGAACACTCCTGGGATTTGGAAATTTATGGGGTAGAGTAGGTGGGGAAGAAGAGTAAGAGGAGTAATAATAACTAATAGCTAGAAGAAAGATAGTAATCATTTATTAAACATTTTTATTTTTAAACTATGTTATTATTTAAAAAAAATTTTTATTTATCGATTTGAGAGAGAACATTGATTTGCTGTTCCACTTATTTATGCATTTATTGGTTGATTCTTTTATGTGCTCTGACTGAGCACTGAATTCCAACTTTGGCATATGGGAATGATGCTCTAACCAACTGAGCTATCTGGCCAGGGCTTATTAAACATTTTTAAATTCTAGTTCTAAGTGAGGGGAGAGAGAGAGAGCAAGAGAACACACATTTTACCCCAGCCGGGTAGCTCAGTTGATTGGTCCCATACACCAAGAGGTTGCAGGTTCAATCCCTGGTCAGTGTGCATATAGGAGGCAAC